GAGTAATTATTAACGGATTAACTTCAAACTTCACAACAAGGTTAATTACAAAGAAACCTCGGACAAGTTCGATAACCGCCATTATCCGACCGTAATTATTGGAGTTATTCCCCTTGGTTTCATTAATGCGATGCATGCGTTCGATGATGTTGTATTGCACTCATTGATCTACCAGTTATGTTGAATGATTTCTCTTTTAATATCAATTACTCACAAATACTTCATACATTCAATGTGTGACGGGCGTATTATATACCGCTTGCGGTAACCTTGTTAAATTTTAGTATTAGTTGGTTAAACTTATGGATCAAACTTGTCTCTATAAATAGGTGCCATATTTTAAAAGAGAGAATCACTGCTAAACCAAGCTGTTCATTAATGTTCCACTATGATGTTCAAACAGCGGTGTGGATGGTATTCCGTCTTTTCGTATTGCAGAGTTATCTGCTCTTGTGAGCAGGTATTGATTGTTGTCATTTGTTTGTGAGAGTAACGTCATACATTTTGGAGAAAATGACGTAATTTGTTCACACAAACTTATGAGGTAACAATCAATACCTGCTCACAAGAGCAGATAACTCTGCAATACGAAAAGAGGGAATATTTTGAGTGAAAATGCATTATAAATCATTATTTTCAAAAGATGTTTTAAAGGCATTATTTATTTATGTATTTATTCAATTAGAATGATGGAAATGCACATTTTATGAAATGCATTTTCTGCAATTTCATGAGAATATTGATTTACTGGTAGTTGTTTTTTTCAAATTTATGAGTTTGTTTATTTTTGAAATAAAATGCTGCCTTAAACCAACAAAAAGATCTTGTGCTTAATGTAGATCGCAAAAAATAAGAGCTGTTGGAGAAAAGCATTGCTTGCATATTTGCAATATATGTTGTAAGATAGCAAATATCAATAGAAACACATGTACGGTAAAACCTTGATATAATGCCTGTCATTTCATTTGCCACCTTGCTTTAATACCGCCAATATATTTCAAGGTCATGTTTTTCTTAAGAAATCCTTTATACGTTTCCATCAGTTTATTGCCAAACCTCTTTATAATGCCAACATTTCTTTGAACAAATAGGTGCCATATTTTAAAAGACAGAGAATCACTGCTAAACCAAGCTGTTCATTAATGTTCCACTATGATGTTCAAACAGCGGTGTGGATGGTATTCCGTCTTTTCGTATTGCAGAGTTATCTGCTCTTGTGAGCAGGTATTGATTGTTGTCATTTGTTTGTGAGAGTAACGTCATACATTTTGGAGAAAATTACGTAATTTGTTCACACAAACTTATGACGTAACAATCAATACCTGCTCACAAGAGCAGATAACTCTGCAATACGAAAAGAGGGAATATTTTGAGTGAAAATGCATTATAAATCATTATTTTCAAAAGATGTTTTAAAGGCATTATTTATTTATGTATTTATTCAATTAGAATGATGGAAATGCACATTTTATGAAATGCATTTTCTGCAATTTCATGAGAATATTGATTTACTGGTAGTTGTTTTTTTCAAATTTATGAGTTTGTTTATTTTTGAAATAAAATGCTGCCTTAAACCAACAAAAAGATCTTGTGCTTTATGTGGATCGCAAAAAATAAGAGCTGTTGGAGAAAAGCATTGCTTGCATATTTGCAATATATCGGTGTTGTAAGATAGCAAATATCAATAGAAACACATGTACGGTAAAACCTTGATATAATGCCTGTCATTTCATTTGCCACCTTGCTTTAATACCGCCAATATATTTCAAGGTCATGTTTTTCTTAAGAAATCCTTTAAACGTTTCCCTCAGTTTATTGCCAAACCTCTTTATAATGCCAACATTTCTTTGAACAAATGGTGGCAATATAACAAGGTTTTGCTGTACCTTAATATGTTGTACATTACAAAGGAAGACAAGGTGAAATAGTCAACAATGTATTGATGATGGTGATCCACCATTGCACATAAAAACTTTAAGCAAGTCTAAATAAGCAGTTTTGCCCCCTAAAATATGAAAATATTGTTCAGCACATTGCTTACACTCTTTACATAAATACTTCAACCTTATAACAGTCAACAGCATCTAACATTTTTTCAACCTTAAGCTTGCTCAAAAAAACTTTAACCAAGTCCAATTAAGCTGTTTTTGGCCCTTACATATGAAAATATGGTTCAGCACATTGCTTACACTCATTATAAATGCCTCAACCTTATAAAAGACAAGTGTATTGAGAATGATGATCCGTCTCTGTCTGGAAAAACTTGCCTAATAACTTTTAACTTAAGTGAAGTGGGATGCTGATGCTGGGGTGACTACATTGGCCCCACTATTTTTACAAAATCAACATATTTGCGAATAATCTGAATTTGGTTCAAGAATTGTGCAACCTTTTGTTCTGATGTTAAAGAGGAGCTATAATATTACTTGTTCATAAAATTAGGGCAACACACATACCAAGGCTTACCTTCATGTAATCTTTCATTTTGAATTCAGTCAAGATGATTATATTCTTAGGAATACCTGTTATAACATTGAACTTTCATCTATCATATTCAAAAGGAGTCATTTGTTCTGTGAAGGTCAATTTTTAGAAACATTCACCTTTACCTTTGACAGATCTTGCCCAGAATATGATCCTTTCTCTTCACTAGTGTAGTGCAACCAACACAACCTGGGCCCCGTTTGTTTATGCAGCTCATTGGTTCGTTATTTTTAAAGGGAAGAATTCAGGGTAAAACCTGGGATCTATAGATGTTAATGCAGGCCTTTATAGTTTCTGCCACAGCTTGCCAGAAAACATCAAATCACTAGGTCCGCCCCTATTTCACAACAAGAGGCCCATGGGCCTTAACAGTCACCCGAGTCCTACAGTATTTATTTTTGTTGTTCAAATATGTACCAATTTGAGTAAAAAAATGTTAAGTATAATGTTAACTTAAGTTTGTCAGGACCATGAGGTGATCTTCCTAGACCGATATTCAGTTAGATCGGCCTATTAGAACTTTTTTTTTAAGTATGAAATAGGTATTTTCAAAATAGTGGCCATGGCAGCCAAATTGTATTTCTGATCGACCCGAAAAATAACAAAACTTTGTCAGGACCAGAGTCGATCATTCCTACAAAGTTTCAGTTTAATTGGCCCATTAGAACTTGACTTTAAGCTTGAAATAGTTTTTCAAAATGGCGGCCGTGTCGGCCATATTGGATTTCTGATAGACCTGCAAAATAACAACACTTTGTCAGGACCATGAGTCGATCATTCCTAACAAGTTTCAGTTCAATCGGCCCAGCAGAACTTGACCTTAAGTTTGAAATAGTTTTTCAAAATGGCGGCCGTGGCGGCCATATTGGATTTCTGATCGACGCGAAAAATAACAACACTTGGTCAGGGGTATGTCAGTAACCTTCCCATGAAATATTAATGAAATCCCTTTGCCGGTATTTCAGCTTAAGTTGAAAATGTAAAATGTTTACGGATGACGCACGACGGGTGAAGATGGATAGCTAAAGCTCAAGTGACCCAATTAAAAAACCCTGGTCCAATCGTTTGTGAACAGGATAAATTAAAGAAGGTCAATTCTGAGGTTTGTTCAATCATTTGTTTTGAGGTAAGGAAATGAACATGAAAATTCAACTTTTTGAAGGTGACCTTGGTGTTTGATGAGCCATGCCCAATATAAAATGTTTTTCCTGTCTCTAGGGTTACAAATATACAAAGTTTTTGTTTTGTGCAACCATTTACTCTAAAATTATCATCCGGTCAGGTAACTATTTCTGTGAAAATCTTTATTTAGCAAGTGGCCTTGACCTTTGAAAATAAAGAAGATTCTTATATCTTTATGAAGTTATACATTTAATACAAAAAAACATTATTCAATGTAATTGGTATTTTTTTTTATTTTCCAATTCGTTTCATAAAATAAACAATTTGACATGTTTAGGCAAAAGACATTCTCGCACACCTAACGGATATCATAATATTTTTACTTCTTAACTTTTTAGCCTTCAGCTTTTCAAAACATTTTTTCCAATGTAAGTTACATTCGCTCACTTGGGGTATCTAGATGTTACTGGAGGCAAAATTATTTCTTTTCACAGCAGCTTTAAAGCTCTTTCCAGTTATACCTTAAATACCAAACACCATCCTTGAAAAAAAAAGAACAATGCTAAATTATTGCCCAGAATTTTTATATTATCTATTACTATACTTATTTTCATGCACTTTTCATTCCGCGATAACACTGAATTTTGTCAATTTTTGTGAAAGTCAGATGGCACTAAATTCAAATGGAAAGAAATTTCCTGAAAAATGCAATTCTTCTATAAGCTCACAACCAGATTTTCAGGAGGCATCCAACAAAGTTTGGTTGAATGACTGCACTTCAAGTTCATCATGTACACCAAAAAAAGGATGCACTTAGAAAATAATATCTAAATAAATATATATGGAAATTTAATAAGCCTTATAGCACTCCGGTACAAAAACAATATTTTATAGAGATGATGTTGATACTATAGAAGCTATAAGAAGCCACATACTAATTAAAAGCATTGTATCCTTGAGTTTAAGAAAAGGGTAAATTTATTTTCATGGCTACAAGTATTCTCTTTAATGGCAGGTAAAATTTGAAGAAAATGTTCTGAAAATGTTTCCTTTAAATTTAGGAAGGTTACAAATATTTCTGTAAAGGATGATGCATACGTAAATATTAAAGGACATACATTTTTTTAAAGATTTGAAATTTGTTTACTATCATTTATCATAATAACCAATGAAATATTTTTAACATAAAAAAACTCAATGACAGAACAAATTTATCAAACAGGGTCATGATCCTAAGCAATTGCATCCACACACAGCTGACCCAACGGAGGTCTAGTAGAGCACACACATTCATCCAGCATCATTTCATGTGCCATCTCAAATGAAACCAATACATCTCACAAAGCTTAATGTAATTAATAAAAACAAGATATAAAACAAAACAAAATCAAGAACAAATGAATGGGAAACCTAATCTTGAAAAACATATATGTTGTAGGTCTAAGTTTGACACAGGTTTAGGAATACCATGTGTAGTCAATACAAAAACGAGTGTTCTATTATAAACTTTGTGCCCCGTTTGTAAGGACGATCAAATAATACACATTAAGCAGTATACCATCACATCAATTAAAACACAAAATAAATACTTCAACTTGGCTGAAATATGTTGAAGATATTAATTCTTAATTTGTTTATCAGGATTACTAACAGCCAAAGGCTGCGAGTACCAATGGTAACTTTCTTTTGGAACTGCACCAGACACTACATGCCATATTCTAATTTCCTTTGTTAGGTATATATCATTCCTTTAGGAATTTCTTTCTGAATCTTGAATCAGTTAATGCACCGGTAACATTTTGGATACACTAGTATTATTTTTAATGACAAGAACATTGGTTTTCAAAATTAAACAAGAGACCTATAGGGCTTGCTGCACTCACCAGGGGCCTGTTCGTTTATGTGGAACAAACAGTTTGTCCGTTTTTAAATGTAACAATTTCAGGTATAAATCCTAGCGGACCTGCTAATGTTTATGCAGGCCTTGCAAAGGCTTTGTCAAGGCTCGCCTGAAAGCAACTTCAAATTACTAGGTCCGACCTTATTCAATAAACGAACAACTGTGGTCCAACCAGTTCAACTGTTTAAACGAAAACGGCCCTGGACTGTTACAAAATGTCTGACTTCGAATGTCTGAATGAAGCCGATGAATTTTTTAAAACATTTTAGACTCTGGTGACACTGGAAGTAAGTCAACGGAAGAAGATCTTGAAATGTTTGAACTTTGACTCTGATTAGTGCTCACCTTCAACGTTTCACCTACACACAATGCATTAGACAACGATTTGCACTATTGTGTTACATTACAGATAACATACCCTAGAATCATAGCTCTATAGTTTGGTTCTTAATATGACGTTTCAAGTTTTATCAAATTGACCTGGTGACTTTGAAAGTAGATCTACGTCTCCGATTTGAGTAAATTTTATAGCACTTCATCATAGGTACATGTACCTACAGGCCAATTATCAGGACACTTGGTCATTCAGTTTTCTAGAAGAGCTTGTTAAAAGAAAAAAGTTGATGGACATTTCATTATTACATAACCTCTTTGGCACTTTGTGCCGGGTAAGCTTAACCCCAAGTTACACAAGGCATTGTGTAACTGGTACATGAATCATTAAATAGGATAAGCATCCCCATGTGTTACAGCAGAACATTGCTAATATGGTTTTTGATAACTGTGACAGCTTGATTTTCTACTGTCTCAAGGACTTGGGTCATTATGGGTCATTTTTGGCCTCATAAAAGTACAAATTTCAACTTTAATTTATTAATAACAATTTTTGTTATGCACATCATATTGGATACTTGGGGCTATCTTTCTTGGAGCAGAAATTTTCCAATGCCTATGCATACATGCCCTACCAAAGCAACAAAATTGCATTGCTATGCAGAAATAGTCAAAATATAGTGTTTTTTTGGACAGTTAGCTTGCAGAAATAAAAGCCTCTACATGTGACAAACAAAACTTTTCTAATGTTTAAACATGCCATTTGTTTGGTGCATCCTGAGGCTTTCAAAAAGGAAAATAGCGCACAACAGATGATATCTACACATTTTATGTCTCTCTTTGTAATGCCATATCTTCTAAATCAGTTGTTGAATGAATTCGAAATTTCACATTTATTCCAGATTCCGAAATGACCTTTAACACCCCTAGACCTTCCAAGTTAACAAATAACAATTATTCCTGCCTCAATGATTGGTTAAGATTTTATCTATGAGATTAAATGGAAAAAACAAAGCGGCTGACAAGGTACAATTATCCCATAATGTTAGAAATAAAAAAGAATATCAGTACATAGTTTCTGGAAATATCAAAATGATAGCCAAGTTAACTGAAAGTGTCTGCTTGACAAACAAATACATTTTACATCATAACATGAATATATATAAAATTCATTGAAAACAAAAAAATGCCATTTTTTATTCATAGTTTGATGCTTATCTGAAAAATCTGCAGTAAAATACTTTTATGGCAGTTAAAACTTAGTTTAGATTTTCCCAATGTACCTAACTTTCATGACTAGCAAAAGGAAACAAATTGTTCAAGCTAATCTGAAAATAATCCAGTTTATCTATGACTATATAACTATGAAGCAGAATCCTTCACAGATTTTTACTACATTTTTAACAAATATGAAATTTAAATTAAATGCAGGAATGTGAAAAAACTATTACAAAAGCCAAATGAAAAAGTTTCAAGAGATTACTGTTGATCTCTTTTAAAACAAGAAAGATTCAAGATCATGACTGCGCAGTAGAATTTATGGCATATAAAATGAGCAAACTCTGAACGGAATGAATATAGTATAATACACAAAATGGCTGCAAACACGAGAGGTTGAAAATAAAAGGTATGACAAAGGATAATGAACAACATACATAATTGGTATGTATTCTCTAAAAATTATTTACACTTTAGATTTGTTTTTTTTATCTCTAAAATAAAAAGCAGACATCGTTTAGTTTCTGGTGTTCAGAAGAGTTTGAGCGACTATACAGAACGTGAGTTTCCCTATCCACCAGTGTTACCCTGGGACAGGGCCTGATCAGCCCTGGGGTTCTGACTGAGGCTCAGACATAAGGGGAGAAAGTAGCTCCTCGGCAGTGCCTGGGCCCCATGATGTCAACTGGTCCTGTCACAAAATAGAAACATGTTATCAATAACACTTAAATGTGTCATGCAACAGCAATTGGCACATATATATCTTCTCTCTGATTTAGCCGAACATTAAATAGCCATATCATGTTACAGATGGGGTAAACCAGCAACCAGATGAACATTTCAGGAGTGATCAATGAGCACCAGTCGACATGTATATCTGAACTATCAAAGAATCACACAGACATGTTGTTTTGCTTTTGTTGTATACTTTACAGGGCAAATCCTGGAATTCGAGACCATTTTCAACAAGTTTTAGTCAATTTCAAAATTAAGAGGGGCCATTCTATGCAAAATTTAAGAAGAAAATTGGAACATAAAGAGGCTCTTTTCAGTTCTGAGGGGTCAATGGCCCCATAACCTCCTCCATGCATTATAATTAATACAAAATAAAGTTCTTGTGATCATATCAGATGCATTGACTTCTCATAAGTAGTATTTAACACAAAACTGACTGACAAAAAAATGTCGAGAATTTAATGATGTCACATAGAACATACACACCTGGGGTAGGTACAAACATATGCTGGACAGCTTGAACACAATCACTTTGCTTTTGCTGGTCTGAAAAATAAACAAAATATCTATCATACTTGACACATGTATTTTTATTAAAAAAACAGCAACAACATCAACATATAGACAGTTGTGAGGAAATTTTCATTCATATATAACTGCTGATTTACCTTCCATCAATCAACAGTTTTATCAATACTTTTTTAACTACAGAAAACAATACAGTTTAATAGCAGACTTCTTTCTAAAGTTTCTTCACCCGATTCAAAATCTGCTTCTTCTGAAAGACTCTTGGAAGATCCAAGTCTTTCATGATTGTTGTGAGGGCATTAAACAAACAACCAAATGGTTTAAGTGTGCAGAGTTATGTTTTTGTCATTAAGGATCCCTGTTCCACAGAACTGTGTTTTTACTTGCATGTATATAGACAGTAACCTCCCCTTAATTTCATTTTGGATATAACTTGAACACAGTTGGGCCAGGACATGGTTGATTATATTTTGTTTATTGCATATATATTATTTTTCATACAAAGTCCTGCAAGCTATGGTTTCATTTCAGAAATGATTTATCAATGGTATAGTCTTACAAGAAAAAAACAGTTTCCTAGGCATAGTAAGAGGATGGTTATATTTCAGAAATGATTTATTAATGGTATAGTCTTACCAGAAAAAAACAGTTTCCTAGGCATAGTTAGAGCATGGTTTCATTTCAGAAATGATTTACCAATGGTTTAGACTTACCAGAAGAAAACAGTTTCCTAGGCATAGTTAGAGCATGGTTTCATTTCAGAAATGATTTATCAATGGTTTAGTCTTGCCAGAAGAAAACAGTTTCCTAGACTTAGAGTTTTGGCATTGATACTAGGATCCTTCAACAAGGTGAGCCTCAATGACATATAATAGTTCTGGCAATTATTATATACAACATTATTTACACACCAGGAGAAAATTACTGAAAATATGCTACAATATGACAGACTATGTATTTTTAAAGCCATCAATTCTCTGTAAAGCTTTAACTAGAAATGTAAGACATGATTTTAGTACAGCCACACAAACACTACCATCATTATTTGGCCAATTTCTATAATAACAGTGGCCTTGGCCTTTACACTCTTAAATATGAACTTGTTTATGAGATATTCTTATGCTTGGCCTTTGCACAAAGTTTTATCAAAATTAGTTAAGAAATATTTTAAGTATGACAGATATGGATAACATGTTATGACCCCACCCTTGCATAGCATGACGGAGGCATAAAAACAAGAATTCAAACTTTGTTGTCCTCAGTAAAGCAAGCGAGAGCTAATTCATTTCAACACCTTTTACTGAATAAATCAAAAGGATAAGACAGCATGGAAAGTAGGTTAAGTCTTCTAATAAAGAAAACATTGTTTCACAGAATGTGATATGAACAAGATTGTTACTACCGGGTAGGTAGGTATATAACGTCCCACACAATATGTAAAGAATGACTATTACCTGTAGTTGGTTTTTGTCAATGAAGAGAAACATGGACTGAGCTGGGTTATTGATGATGAGGCCAGATCTTTCTTTCTTGGTCAACAGTCGCATCAGTTGTTTCTCATAGTCAGCATGGTCAAATCTAAACTCGGCCTTTTTAAAACAATGAACACAGGTAAAAAGTCTAATATATACTGAATACTAGCACTGTATGTCACAAACTAATGACCCTGCACCCCTTTAAGAACTAATCATATGCTGTACTGGACTTACACCATTTGTAAAAGGCACCATATTCACATTATGTCGTATAATACCAAAAGTTTTAAAGAAATCAGTTTCTCTCATTTCTGTGTGTGTAAGATAGAGCTGTTCAGGGTTAGAAAGGAGTGGAAGAAATTTCTATCTAACACCCCATTTCACGTGATGTGACGTCACAATAACGTGATGTCACAAATTTTGGAAATCTCCAGTGCGGAAAAGGCGATGTGATGTCGGAAATCAAATCCTTTTACAATATATTTACCGTATACATTACAGAGATGTGATTAATTTTTCTGCACAAACTCTGTTTGCAAATAGGGGGTATGCTTAATCTGACCGACAGATTCGTTTTCGTCTAAAAAGCTTAGGAGTCCAAACGTATTTTCATGGTTTCTTACCTTATTCTGGTAGCTGGAATGAGGGCTTAAAGTCTATTTGGGTTATTAGAGGAACCTCCTACTACTAAATTATAAAATGCATATATGCATTAATGCAATTAAATAGTTATGAAGCAGAAGGTTTTAAATTACAGTATCTTTTACTATTGATAAAGTAGCACCTACAGTATTACCTGGATAGGTTTGAAGGGACTTTCATCCCCTTTCCATTTGGAGAACAGCATACATTCTATCTTGTCTATGTCACTGCGAGGCCAAAGAAAGAAGTCCATCTCTGTAGTACATCCCAACACATCCTGAAATACAAGTTTAAAGGACCTAAACACATAGTTTATTTAGACTTGGGCTGTAGTAGGTATTTTTCTTATTCAAAGTTTTTTTTACTGCACATGCAGAAGTATTTTACATAGTAAATTTTTTAAAGTATTCAGCATTGATTAAATGTAAGAAACATGTGAGCATATTTTTTCTTAAGAAAACTCCCTGATGTAATTAAATTTCAATATTTTTCATCAAATCTAATTTGTCACAACTTCAGGTCCTTAAATTAAACTATGTTACGGGGATCAAGATATGATGATATTGGGAGTTAAATGTGAATATTAATTAAATCACCAATTTTACTTGTTTTGCAAGACAAATAAATAAGATTTTACTTTACCTTATCTACTTAACAATTTGTAGGCCCTGACCTGTATTTTCTTGCTCATTACCATAATTTGTGTTGGAGTCAATTCATGATATCAAGTCTTACCCTCCTCATGGACTGCCATCTTGGTGCATGTAATTGTACGACATCTTTTTCTAAAAGCTCCTTTGAACTTTCGTACGTGTAGGCTTCTTCCTGAAATGTGAAGAAAATGTTGACATAATTCAGTTCTTGTGAAATGTAATTTGAAAAAAAATATATCTTCTTGTTATCCTATTTATTAATGTAATTAATTTATAATAGAAAATCTGGGAGATACTGAATTGTACTTAATACATAAAAGGTAATCACAAAATATATGTTTCTTTAGAACCGAATAAAGATGTGGTATAGTTTGTTATTACATGTATTGATATAATTCTTTAAAACCACACTACAACACCATACACAAAAAACGCTTTTCATGCTAATAATAGTCCTTCACCAATTACTTGGAAAAGCCGACCCTTGTATAATGTCTTTACCTCTGACCCGTCCTTACCTTCACCCCTTTTAGAATACTATCTTCATAGTTATTTGTCATAACTGGTACCACTTCAGCAACTTCGAACAAGGCACAATTCTTTTTCTGAGGAAAAAAGAAACACAATTACATAATTGAAAAGAAAGAAAAAAATAATTAATGAAAGACCTGGCCCGGGATCAAGGAACAATCTTAATAGACTTATGTTTTTGCTTGGCCAATCTACATATGTATGACGTCACTTTTCATGACATTATTTGTAATTGGTAAAGTCAAAACTAAACAAATTTAGATTTAAGATTGTTTCAGGATACTGAGGCCATTTACCTTTTTGATTCTTCACCTTATAACATGTAATAGCTTAAAAAAATAAATATTGGAACATTTTTTCCCCATAGGGAACTGCTATGTAAGTTGTGTTGTATGTGTATGATCAGGGTCTCTTTAACACAGAAACAAGAATTCTCTGGGACTATCACTTTTAATGGTGTAGCATTACAGAACTTGTTCTTTGAAGTAGAAAAGTGTAAGTCATGTTATTGTATAGTAGAAATCTTTTAAAATTAACTCCAGCATATATAGCTGTTTCATCTCACACTGAGACAAAGCCCAGATGCAGGACTTCAACAAATATTTAATCGCTTTTAATTAATAAACCTATCATTATAACAAGCCATGTTAACATATTACATGTACATGTACATAACACGAATGGTAGATATTTCTTAAACAAAACCTCAAATCAACCCATGACTAGCTGGATATAGGATTCATCAAAACTTCACCCAAGAAGAATTTTATTAAAATTTCATTCCATTAATGAGTACATGACTCTTCTGATTGTTATGTGATATTCTACAATATGTTTTTTTCATTTAGTAAACTAGCCTGCTTTTCGTTATTGCTTTCCAATTGACTGGACCAGCTAGAGCTCAAAGTGTTTGTTTATGTAGTGGGGATGTTCCTACTGGTCTGATGCTGTTTGCTACCCATGGATAAATAAATATGTTCAACCTAATTATAACCCCTGAATGTTACCCTGTAAAACAACAGTTGATCCAATTCACCTTAATATTGATTGATACTCAGCTTTCCAAGTGAGACATCTAGTCTTTTAAAATGTTCGACAGAATACAACAGACCAGAAAAGACATTCAAAAACTTTCTGTTTGGAAAATAATTCATTATCAAATCTTGACATAAATGTTAATTTTGAAGGTGTGTGTACATGTTCTGTATAACATATAAATTCAACAAAGTGAAACTTATGACAAATAGGGACATGACAGAATGATCAGAGTGTTAAAAGTAATTCTACCAGGGTTTTCATCAAGAACTGGCAGCAGGCCAAAATGACTGGTTCTGTTCTGTTTTTGGCTGCTGCTAGTTGTTCTAACCTTGCCTATAACCCCTGCCTATTGTAATTGATATCCCTATAATTAAATTATCAACCAATTACATGACTGAAGTTAAAATTCACCTGCAGATTAAGAACAAAGATATAGGAATTGCAAGAGCTCATTGTGAATTGGCTATAAAGAGAATCTCAAGTCTTAACACTGAACGGGATGGGAAAAAATCAAACAGGACTGCTGACCAGGATTTGAACGAACAACTGGCTTGTAACTGTCAATGTACTGTATACACACTGACAGTATATGTTCATTATCATGATCAGTGATTTTTCTACCTGTTTTCAACAGGGCCCAAAATTCATCGAAAAAACAACAACATAGATGCTATCATCCCAGTTAGAATTCTCATCCTTTCAGTTGGTCTTGTTTGAGAAGGCTAGCTTTTTTAGGTAGATGAGTTCTTTGTTCAAATACTGGTCATTTCTTACATATTTTTCCATTGCAATTTATTATCGTACATCAAAAACTGGTCATTTGAATTTTTGTCATTAGTTTTGAAGTATTCTTTTTTAAATCATTACAAAACCTTCACTAAAATCACCTTTTCCTTGAAATGAAAGGCAATATACATCTTGAAATCAAAATGGTCTGCCAAAGATTCCCTCTTCTTTCTCAATTGATGCCGCAAACGGCTAACAGCTAGATTTTTCCTGTTGTGTGGATCGCCCATGGTGAAATAAGTATTGTTGGACTTTAATCGCGTTCTTTCAAATTCACATTTTTCTGTGATTATGAACAGTTATTGATCCAGTACAAGAGTTTTTGTGCAAATTCTTCACTTTCTAAATATATCTTAACATCTGTTATGTTGGGGTTTTAATTGTATTCTGTATATTGTTGTAAATCAATCTATAGGAAACTATCGACCACATCTCTCCTTCAAGACTAGCAAGTCACTCGAAACATTTGCCACCTTGCAAATCACTATTATTTTAATTTTGGCGATAGTTAGCATTATCATCTCATTGGAGAAACCGACATCTTCCTTTGATTCTCGTAATTATCGAATACCTACATTACTCTCAAAAACAATCTATCTCAAGAAGCAATCTGGAGCTTGATTTGGTATCATAACTATACAAGGAAGTATGCAAATTATTCTCGACCAGTTATCACAGCATGATCCATTTCGGGCGTTCCAAGTGACATCGCGATTCGTTATGTGTACACTGAAGACAGAGGAGCAAATAGCTTTGTATGTCCATCATGAGTCAATAAAATATTTGGCGGAGCCATTTTTATTCTTCTTTCGCACAGCACTGCAGTAAAAGCACCAAGAACAAGCAGCAGCTTCCAAATGCATCTGTTGCACTAGCTTCAAAATGGCGACGATGATTTTCGGTTATGTTTCTTACCTCCAACACGAAAGAGCTCGGAAATATGACACGAGTTGTGGCATTTTGATAATCGAAAACTTATATAGAGACAGACGATTTTTTTGAACTTTATTCAATATCCATTTAACATTTTATTGTATTCTTAATATTCAATTATCACTGTCACACACCAATTTGAACCGTGAACCAAATCAACAACATTCAGAAGACATCAACAAAAAGGGGAATAACTCTAAATACATTTTGTGATTGAATGCAGCTCAAAGGATGGTGGTAAGCAAGTTCTGCATGTCATGCAATCTCTTGCATTATTACCATTTAGTTTGACAATCTTACTACAACTAAAATTACTAATTTAGTAGTATTGGAAGTAGTGAAAATAAATAGACGAAGTAAAATTATCTACCAGCATTAAAACTATCATACATTTGAATTTTTAGGGCTAATAACTTATCCAAATTTCAAAGATGCATTCCACATTTAACGTGGATTTGAGTTTGTTTGGCTGCCACCATGAACGTATAGTATACTTTTCTACCTTTCGTATTTTCTTCGTTATTTTTTATTGTACAATATATTTTGAAAACATGTAGATTTGTTTCATTTATGTACATGTCATAATTAGACCAGAGACGTGTATATTACAATGTATGTTATATATACTTCACCGATTAGACTGATGATAGATGTGCTGTATGTATTAGCACAACGTCGAGACAATTTTTACATACATGTATATTTCGCTGGCCTGGGCAGAGGATGCCGCGCGTGTGTGTAATTAGGCTTGATGATAAATATATACATGTCCAGTAGTAAAATAATCAACGTGTGTTTATTATCACCACTGTTTTCATAATATGAAATCTAGTTCTTTAGAAATACATACAAAATCATGTCAATTGTAAGATCCATTTACCTTATTTGTGCACAGGCGTTTGATGTTGTATCAATAAGATGTAACAGTCTAGATGAAAAAATACTCCCTTTTAAAACCTGTTGGTAGATGATAATTATATTTGTTGAAAAACTACACTGTATAGTTGTAATACCATGTTTCACCTACAATGAGCCCAGGGGCCAACATGTTGTCTGGCCATGCAGGTACTCGGTCTTCTCTGTCAATATTTATTATAGATATATTGACAGACAAAGCTAGCACTAGTGGTCTGGTTTGAAGTAGGTAGGTGGGCTTATTGCTGGACAATTAAATAGCATTTGTTGGTATTTCTGTTTAACTGCCATCAATATGTTTTATCAGGCATGGGCTTATACTGCCAAATAAGTAAGATAAATTTAAAATCTTAGATAATTTCATCAATTCTAACTGAAATGGAAACACAATTACTGTCATATGTACATTAATACTGACAAACTAATTTATTATACAGAAAATAGGTCTTCAGTTCAAGGCAGACTTGGAATTTTTGACAAACTTGAGACCAGATGGAGAAGATTTCAGATGGTACATCAGAGTAAGTAATCATGTTAAGGTTATTTTGTTTTATTTCTCTGTGTATCGACAACAAGAATGCATATGATATCAGGCAGTTTAAAAGTCATTTGAGTTTGAGAATACTTTGGATACAAATAAAAGAAAACAAATTATAAAATGTACAAAGTCATATAAGACATATCTGTTCTTTTCTCCAGCTGAAGTGCAGCAACTGCAGTGAAGAAACCAAAGAATTTCAGTATGTTACACTGATAGTAAGTATACAGTTCATAATGACAACCATCTTTTCCAAATGATAAAAGATGAAACTGCAAGTTAAAGTTTGTTGTCCAAATGATAACACTTGTAATACATACTCTGAGCTCAGCTGCTTACGAGCTTGGGTGATGATGCGTGCAGTATCCATGTTTATTTGTCCTTCTAGTCAATAGCAGCTTTTCTTTTAGTTTATAAATTCAACTGGATCACAAGCCATAGAATAATGATATATTACCCATGCCTTGTTGTAATAGAGGAATACCAGATCGGTTTAAATAACTTACCTTGAACTGCTTTCAAGTTTAGAGGGGACAAATGTGTTGAACAATTCAAACAACCTCTTCTAAAGAACCATAAGACCAAGACTCATGATGGGGACAAATACAATCAAGTATGTTCAAATAACTGACCATAATCCACTTTTAAGGTCACATGATAGACAACTTCAGATGACTTTTACATGTACATATATATGTGGATAACAGCCAGGGCAATTTGATTTGATCTGTTTTACTGCCGAATACAGGCTGTTTCCCCTAGCTAAAAATGCTGTATTTTCCCAAAATGATAAAAAAACTGAGGAATGTATTCCCAATTTCAATACAAAAATGCTACATTTTCCCAAATCATAAAGGAACAAAATGTTGTAAAATTTCGGTAACAAAAACACTGTCTTAGCTTTTTGGGTTACAGTCCTATTATGTTAGTTCATGTGAATGACCTTGACTTATGTTGAAGCTCAAAGGTGTCAAATGTTTTAAAATTTCAGACAACTTCTTCAAAACCATGAGGCCTTGAATCGAATCAGTTACTAGATATAGAATGGGAGATTTCACATTTGTATAAGTGAATGACTTTGACTGACTTTCAAGGTCTCATGGATCAGATAGGTTTTAAAGAAAAACTTTCAGAAGGAGGGCTAGAAATTGTTTTTAAGAAGCTCTATTTTACTAGTCCTTGCACAGTTTCCACTTACCCAATATCATTCAACATGATAAGTAATATGAAATTTTTACTAGTCAGTTGGGCTAGTAGTTTTTAGAACCAATAGTCCAGCTGGAGAATCTCAGACTATCAAGCTACCTTTATTGTCTAGCCCTTAGAAAATAGGTATACATTCTTTAACAATCTTTTTAGTTATTACAAATACAGTACAATTTTTCCCATATGGTGTTTGAAAAGCAGAATCAAAAGGTTTCACTAGACTAATATTTTTATGAATAGTCATTTTTATTTAATTGTATTGTTTGCTTTTGGCATTCTTTTTGAATTCATTATACATGTATACTGTCACTTTACTGTACTGATGACACGTTCCTTCGGTAACTGGAAATTCTGGTGAAATGTCAGGAGATTTTTGCTGGAATCTGAAGATTTGACAACTGGTTCATCATTACTTACTTACAGATTTGTTTTTACATTGCAGGACAGTGTGCCGTTGAAAGGTGGGCGAGGCTCAGCAAGTATGGTGATGAAATGTAAACTCTGTTCCAGAGAAAATTCTATTGGTAAACAAATGTTAATACTTTCTGATAGGATGCTGTGTATTAGTTTTATTTTAGTGAGATACATAGAGGTTCCTTAACAAGTGGTGGTTGGTTATCATGTTTATCTCACTCTAGTTTGTAAATTATATACATACATGAGGTTTACTGCGTGGCTTTTGCAATTTGAAAATCAAGTGCCGACAAACAGATAATCAACCATCATAGATTTGGGGGCCTTTTTTCTCCCACAACATTCAGATCTTGTATCTAGACAATAATTTTTCTCAGGGGAGTACATTATTCCTGTCTCCGATCTTGGAAACATGTACAATTGACGTTGGGTACAGTGTTGATCTGTTTTAACTTTAAAAAATACTGCTGAAATGTTTGGTCCCCGGAGCACCATATCATTACGGTACCAACAAAATCAGCTCTGATTTCCAGAGCACTATATGGCAAAGGTGAAACACAGTTTCAATAGTGCCTAGGATTCACACTAAAAACATCAGGTACAGGAGTAAATTTGAAGATATTTTATTTTTGTTTCAGACATAATGAAAGATTCCATGAAGCCTTATAATATTGATGATTCTGGAAAATTCAAAACAGTTGTTGAGTTTGATTGTCGGGGCATGGAACCTGTTGACTTTTCACCCAGAGTAAGTGCTGTATACAATGTAGTAGTTCCATCTACATGTTGATCTCAACACGTCTTCTCTTTTCTTTGAATAGAATGTTCAGTTTTGTGTCATGCCGAACCGCTTCATTTATACAAACTAACCGCCTTTTAAAGGTAACATTGCCGAGATAAATCCAGACAGACCTGCAAATGCTTATGCAGGCCTTGAAAGACTTTGTGAAGGCTTGCTAGAAACGAACATAAAAATCACTTTTATGAACAAACAACTCTGGTCCAGAAGTTGTGGTGGCCGCATGGTTATGGCGTCTGACCTTCTACGGTCACTAGCTTTCCACCACTGGGTTGCAGCTTTGAGGCCTATGTGGGGCAGTTGTTAAGTACTGATCTCATATCGACAGTTTTTTCCTGGTTCTCTGATTTTCCACCAAAACCTGGCGCATACTTAAATTATCTGATATCATAATTGTTTATAGGACATAAAACACAAGCAGTCTCTGGTCCATCCAGTTAAACATTTTGGAACGCTTAAAAGGTGTGCCATATGATCTCATGCAGTTGCTACTGTGTATTACAACTGACTATCAAGCACACCTCAAATTTTACAAATGAAGATAATTTCTGATAAAAATCTGGTTTTTCATGCAAAGTAAAATTCAGGATAAAGGTATAAGGAATCTTATCCCTTTCTAGCTAATATATATTAGTCCTTCTACTGGTATTAAGGTCTTGGCCTTGACTCAGCATAGTGGTAAATTGAGACTTTTTTCTTTACTTTTGACATCATTTTAACCTGCATATATTATGGGGACCCAGTCCATTTTAGAAGTTTTATTATAATTTGGAACACATGCGTCCCCCTGTTTGAACATTTCAGCATCCATACCTGCTTGCTTGTAAGATGCAAAATTATAGTTTTTCTTTCAAATCATCTTTGTTAAAAATAAAAATAACTGCTCCCCATGTTTCTGTGTAAAAGTATATTAAACAAGCATCCGGCAATGTGTGTTCACTTGTGTTGTGTGTATGATCACCAGGGATATTGGTTTCTGTTGTAGGTTGGGTTTATGGCTGAGGGAGCAGAAACAAGTACAAAGTTCCCTGAAGTGGAACTTACAGAAGGTGTAAGTACATGTGTTATTAGATAAAAGTAAAATCTTTTCTGAGTCTTGTAGCTAAACCTTACCCATTTTACCGTAGTGATAAAAAGACAGCTTACCAGGTAGTCATGAGTCTTGATGCCGGAGCTTCTCACCATTAAAAAGGTAAATCTGATTTTAGCGACCAGAACGTATTCATGTAGAAAAATTTACTTTTCTGAGATAAGTGATTGGAACTATCTCTGTATAAAAATAGTCTTTCTGAGCCTATAGTGGATGAAGATAATCTCTGTAAAAACCCCTGAGGCCAATGGATGAAACTTTTGGTTGAAGAGTAAAATATTTCTGAGGCAAGTGTGGCTATAGACATTACCTATATCTTTTACTGTAACATTATGCTATCATGAGCAGGATGCCTAACTCCCTATCTATTGATGAACTGAATATTATAAAAATTTACAAATGATTATCAATTATGGAGAAGATGGAGTGTCCAATGTTAAATGTGGAAATATGTATACTATTTTTAAAGTACACAAGCAGGTCAATTCTGTTGATTTTTTTTTTCTCCACTGTATTACTAATTATTCTTTATTTTATGCAGTGTGGAAATGCTCACGTTGTTAGAGTCATTGCCAATGCGAAAAAAATTCCCCACACCACATTCAGTTGAAAAACAGCCACAATGCAAATATTTCCAATTTTTTTTGGATTTGCTATAGGATAAAAACAGGTTAAAAGCAGTGAGTGAGTGTTAGTTCGATTATGTTATATGTGGTGCATGTCCTGAATTCTGCTAGTGTTTCTGATTGGATTATTGTTTTGGGTAAGAGGTTCCACTGTATTATGGTGTATAGAAAGAATGAGTGTCTGTATGTGTCTTTGGATGTGTAGGTATGTCTGTAACTAAGGTTGTGTCCTTGACGTGTTCTGGTGTCTGCCGGGATGAGATTGTTAGTGTGAATTGCTACTTGTTGGTGTATTATTTTGTAGAGAAGAATAATGCGTGTTCTTGTTCTGCGTGTGTGTAGTGTTGGCCACAGTATCTATTGGCCACTGTAAAGTTTATTTTCTCATCCTTTTCCAGGAGTGGTGCGACTATGACGAGAAACAAAGCGAAGCTGTTGGAGTGTATGACTTAAAACACAAGTTTGTCAAATGTCAACACTAACGTACACTAGCTTGATAACATAGAGGAGTCCAGTCAGTGAGGATTGATTCAGATATGTCAGAGAGAAGTAATTCTTGATACAGTATGATCTTGATATAACACTCCTCATCCATTTGCCACCTCTTTTAATTATCGTCAACATATTTGTAGGTTCCTTTTCCCATTTTCCAAAGAATTCCTTTATATGCTTGTTGCGAAACTGGGATTTGTTGACATTCTTTACAATGATAACATAATTTGCGCTTGTCTATATTATCTTAGAAAGAGAGTAATTCTTTGTCAATGTGCTATCAACAATACCTTTATAATTGTCAAGAAAGTCAGTTTATATGTTTTCACGAAGTCAGACGTCAAACTTTCACACAATCTACTGACAGTTAATGTCCTTATTTCGTCAGCTATAAATAGTATTGTACGTTAAAGATAACAGAGTCTTTGTAATTTGTACTGATTTTGTCCATAAGAAAGAAAAAACATCTGTAATTGTAAAATTGTACTTTGAGAATGTTTTGTTTTTTTGCGTTACCATTGTGGCACGCGCTATTCGATATATCAGTCGAGCTGGTAGAGAACCTGAGTGTACCAAGCGAGGTATTACTTTTGTGAAAGGAAGGGCATTTTTATAGTAACTTTTTAGCTAAGGCGTTAGCCGCCAGCTATTGGTATTACTTTAGTTAATGAGCTCAAGATATTCATAAATGTCATTTTCACACAGACGCCTCTAGCGGTAACCACTGGTACTAAATTGAATCATATAACGGACCTACTGTCTTTATTATGCGTAACTCAAATGCACTTGAATGGCTTGTAAATATCATTCCTTTCCTTTGTAGAACATATGATCTTATCACAGCGTCGTATTCTTATTAAAAATGCACCCTGTTTATCTCGATCGGGAACAGCCACTTGACTGAAGGTCATGCATGCTACACGCAACTTCCGGTTAAAATACTTTAGTTAATGAGCTCAGATATTCATAAACGAGACATAACGTCACCTATCAGTAATACTAAACAAACTGCAAATAAAATCCATTACCACGGACTCAAATTCACTCACAAGACATTGGATATAATCTTATTCTTAGTTAGAAATAAGTATCCTTCTATAAAATTCGTATTTACTCTTGGAACTGTCGCTGGATTAACCCTTTACACAGAAATATTGTCCTGTGATTGGCTAAAATTGGTGACTCTTGCATTTACGTCCCTGTTTACATTTATATATTGCGTGGTCAGAGCTATGAAGCAGTCCTGTTCCAACTAACTGAGGAAAATTAAAAGTGCTAATCTGTAATAATATATATGATTCACGCTTCATATGATTATAATGTTATCAAAATATTGCATATTCGTTCATCGTTGAAATAACGAATCCTTACTAAAAACTCTAAAAACAGAAACGATGGCCATGTTAGATCCTGCGTGGATGTTATCGCGATTACCCGTTTCCTTATATGGCCTTCACGGCCAAATATAGAATTACTACTGATGCCGTCATGTTTACTACAATTTCCATATTTGGTCATGACACCCATATTTAGACGTCTGACCTATATCGGAAGACAGACGAAATTTCCAACATGGCAGTCAATTAAGATTTCGCTTGCACTTGTTACGTAAACTTGATAATTTACGACATATAAGGCAGAGTATAACTTACAATTATGTAGGAGATCAACATA